ACCAGAAAATAAGCGGAAACTTGAGGCGTGGGGCGGTTTTTGTTGCACCAGCTGGTCACCCAATGACAGCCATAGCCTCGAGGAATAGCAACCTGCAAATCATCTGCTTTGAGGTCAATGCTCATGACAACATCAGGGTCCCTCTGGCAGGGAAGAAGAATGTGGTGAGCCAGTTTGACAGGGAAGCCAAAGAGCTGGCTTTCAATGTGCCTGCAAGAGAAGTGGATCGCATCTTCAATAACCAAGACGATGAGTTCTTCTTTGAGGGACCAAATGAACAGCCTGAACATGGACGTGCTTATGCATGAAAAAAGGGGGAAGTTGAAGGGCTTCGAAGTTTTTATGTCTTCTAAGTAGAGGTTTTTGTTAAGCCCTAAGTAGAGGCTGCTGCAGTTTTGTGGGTCTGAGATAATATTGTATATATTATAACCTGCTGGTAGGGGGGGAATGTGTCGAGTGTCTACCAATGTAAATTCTGGGTTGTAACCTTAAATAAAGAGAACGACTTTCTACTAAGTTAACAGCATGTTGTATGTTTTGGTTTGTTTTGCTTTTGCTTGGAAGTTTGTTTTCACAAACATAAAAATTTCATGGATTTGAGTCTGACTTTGCAATAAGACTTCGCAGACATATCAGTCAATGTGAAATAGAATTTGTTCACATGTCCAGGTCACGTTGGTCACAACAAATTTGGATTTCTGCATAATTATATCTGCCCTGCTTGGATTTTTTTTTTTTAATCGCCAAAGCCCTGCTTGGCTCACCCACACAAAAAGAAGAGGAAAAAAAAAAGGTTTATTATTGTATTTCAATGGCTTAAAATTAAAGAAAAGTATATTTTTATTTTTATTTTTATGCAATTATGCAATTGTGCAACTTGCACAAGCTCATTGTCATGACCATCATCTTAACCCATGTCTCTAAAGAGAAAATTAGGTTTCTCAATACTTTTTTTTTTTCCTAAACCAATTATAAACAAGAGAAAAAGAAAACTTAATTATACAAAAGAATTAGTTGACGGGGTTTAGTTCAATGGTAAATGATTTTGATTTGTAGACTAATAGTCTCAAGTTCGAAATCACATCGCATGACTTTGATTTGCAGACTAGTGTCTCAAGTTCCAAATCACATTGCATCTTAGTAATGTGTGTGAGAAAACCTCCTATTCCTTTCTGACTTTGACAAAAAAAAAATGACACAAAAGAATTCTATTAATAAAAATGGACCCTTTTCTAAAAAATTAAAATTAAAATGGGCCCTATGATATTTGTCAAAGCAGCCCACCTGTCCATGAATAGCCCCAACGGTATCCTTCTTCTCAAAACCGACCCGCCCCCTTCCCCCTTCCCCCCCCCCCCCCCCCCTCCCCCCC